TGCTGATGGATGACGCATTATGTCGGACATTTTCTGAAAGGATAAACTCAACGTTGCATTTTATGTTTCACACACACTGCAATAATATGCGGTTCTCTCTGTCGATCTCAAAATATCTGAAGTTGGTGACGGTCATATATGGAATACTCCCCGCACTACCTCTCCTCTAGGAGTTGTTCTCGCTTGGCATTTACCTTGACGTGGCCTAAATGGCATACCCCGGGCTCCCGAGTGTCGATGGCTGACCTATAATGGAGTATACGTGACCGAAATTTATACAATCTCGAACGTAGGATGCACTCAGTGCGTATCTCAGGCTAAACGATAGTATTGGCAGTACCGCATTTCCTTCAACTTCCGTTTGTGTATATCCTTGTTCCTCTTATCAGCCTTCCGGGCACATATCTTATTGCAGACAGGGAGGCTCCTATACATTATACAATCGTCAACCGTCGCCCCATAGCAGACTGAAGTCTCGTCAATCTTGCTCACTTGTCATCACTTGCATTTCCTCAACGGTTTCAGCGCTTCTAGTATTACCGTTGAAGTACTACGTTTCGTCAGTTTGACTCAGTTTCTAATATGAATGCTTTCGTCATAATAGGTGGAGTCCTTGGTGTACTGCTACTTTCGATGAGCTGGTAATATGCGAGACGCCTATTCAACGGGGTTTACTTCAATCCGCCATCCGTCTCCTTCTGGAGAGTGCTTTGGTCTGAGATTCGTCAAGTGTTTATTGTTCAGGACTAAGGTGCTCCTTATATGCCTCGGTGTTGTTGCTACCTTGCTGGCAATACTGGTAGCATCTCAAGAGAAGATGCTATATGTAAGATGGTGCTCATGGGCTACGACTTTCGACACTATCAATAATTGTGATTATTTCCGTACTCCACATCGTTCACATTGACTCTAGTGGTTGAACCTTGCTAGGGTCATCTGGAGAGTTTATGGGCTGTTTTATTCGTAGTGGGATTACTCTTGCTCAGATGCCCGAGGTCCAGGGGTTCACCACTGTCGGTTCCAATCCGCCAGGTGAGTTGAAATCACTCAGTTTCAGCTTCTTTCTTGTGCCAGAAGTTGTCGATACGGTATCACAGGTATGCGCTCTCCTGTCGAACTCGACATGAAATTCGAAAATATCAAAGTGGCAACTGCTGATGGTCAGAGTATTCATGCATGGTTCATTCATGTACGATGTTGCTCATAAGAGTTGCTATTTTAGCCTTCCGTCAGGCCATTGGAGTTGCTGATTCGTCAATGGCACCAACAATCGTATTCTGCCATGCTAACGCTGGGAATATGGGTTTAAGAATGCCCAACTACAGGCAGCTAGCTTCGGTAGTGTGACGGCTCGGAGATTTCTGAAAAGATGGTATTTCGATAATTTTCAAGTCGATTTTTGACAGTGATGACATGCATTAGAATAAGTATTTTTCTATAGTTGATCGTTGTACCTGTGTCAGTTTGTGAAAGCCAATGTTCTCGCATTCGACTACAGAGGCTTTGGCGAGAGTACGGGCAAGCCAAGTGAAGAGGGTGAGTATTGTGACATCTGGAACTTGGCTCATGTCATCTGAGTGGCCTGTCGCGGAGTATTACAGGTGCTTCCCTCAGGTATCATGCTCGATCTGGACGCGCTGTTCCAGTGGATACAGAATAACCAACAGCTGGTCGATCCTGAAAATATATTTTTGTTTGGTCGATCGCTCGGTACGTCCACTCAGGAAGTTTGAGATGCGTCCGCGTTGTTCAGTAAACTTCGGCTTTGGCTCGGAGTTGCATAAGATTGGTCGTGTAGATCTCACACGCTTTAGAGATAACTGACTTACACCATCTGTCAGGTGGCGCAGTCGCAGCAGAGTATGCTGCTAAGTTAGTGGCTGAGGGTCATCCACCCAGGGGTGAGAGCTCTCGGCTTTACACTGTAATATTTTGTCGTGACAGGTGTTATATTGGAGAATACATTCCTCTCTATATCGCTCATGGTGAACTCGTTGTTCCCTTTCTTGCGATTTGACTGGGTCAAGAAGCCTTTCTTGAGGCTTAGATGGGAGACTTACAAGCACGTTGAGAAACTTGGAAAGAAGTAGGTATTTCAACGACCCGAACGTTGGCGGATCTGAAGTGCTTTCAAATTATTCCTGATCCAGGGATACTGGACCCTTTATTGTAGTCTGCCTTATCGGCTCTTTCACCACTCCATGGGCGATTTTGAGCGTCATGTCTGCGTATGACATGCAACATGCTCATGCATGGTTTTGCCCAGTGCGTAGGCGTGTGCTCCACGCTCGGTAGCGGGCCATGCACATAACCAATGCATTTGTACGGTGCTGCTTTGGCCCGAGTATCGAACTCCGAGACATGAGGTGCAACTCGAACGCGAGTCGCGGGGGCAGAGTTCTATTCACGGACTCATTGTTAGTACTAACTGACGCCAACGATCCCTCAAAACACCGGTCCGGGACGTGGTACTTAGGAGCTTCTGGCTCGTATGCAGGGTGACGGCAATGCCGAGTCGGCGTTGACGAAAGCGGTTGTTGAATAACCTCATCAATGCATGATTAACTCAATTGCTACTGAAGTTGAAGATCCACCTGGTAATAAGACTCGTCCATCATCTACGGAGTCTGAAGATCACGCTGCGGTGCCATTTGCTCATCCTTGCGGCAGAATTATCTCTTGCACTGAGATGCTGTGGAATCTGTGTGGCTTCTCTTACGTCAACTCAAATGAGTCGTTCCTGCATATCAACAGCACTCCTTGGTGTGAACAGCCAGCAATTAGCAATGGTCTCCCACTAGTCTGGACCCATCAATATATAGACAACGGATGAACATGATATCGTCCAAGACCCCCGGATAATATTTCAGACTCCATCCACTTGAGCGAGAGATTCGACAATTTGAAACGAGGGGAGCTGGCTATCAACCAGCAACAGAGCACACTCCCACTGTTGTTTACACGTGGCCTCGGGGAAAAATCGGATACGCAGTGGCTAGGTACATCTAGGCTAGATGCAAGCTATACAATTGCCACGTGCCCTATTGGTAGCTCGATCGACTCCGAGAGCTAAAATGGCTGTGGGCCTGGAAGCCT